CAGGGGGCGAGGCGGGCGGGCGGAGGGAGGGAAGTGGCGCGCGCTCGTGCGTCCGCCTCCCTTCTTCGTCCTCCTCCCCCCACACTTTCCCTCTTCCTCCTCCTCCCTCTTCTGCCGCTGCTGGGGAGGAACGTAGGCAGGCCGGCAGGCAGATGGAGGAAAGGAAGTGGTGCGCACTCATGTGTCCGCCCCCCTTTCCCTCTTCCTCCTCCTCCTCTTGCCCTCGGGCGATCGGCTGTTGCTGGACGCCCGAAATGGCCGCACGCGTTTTCGCGCCCTCCCCTCGCTTACCGAGGGCGCGAAAATGGCTGCCGGACCCGGGAGCATCACTGAACGGTGAGTTTTGGGCCGATTTGGAACGCATTAAACGATGTTTAATGCGTTCCAATGGCTTTTTTTGTCCCGTTCAGCGATGTTTCGCTATAGCGAAGGTTAATCCGGAATGGATTAACCTCGCTATGCGAGGCACCACTGTAGTACATTATTCAAAGACAATGTACTAGTTTAGCGGCCTATAGGTATAGAAAAGTTAAAATAGAGGGCTTTTACAGAGAACAAATGATATTCGATAAACTTTGCTGGGCTCAAATGATAAAGTAATTAAGAAAATGTATGATTATTTGCTTGAAACTAAAATGCAAGATGAGATGGTAAAAGAATGTGTGATTAGGTGGGCACAAAATATAGGACATATTGATCAATGGTTGCAAATATGGAAAAATAACATAAAGCTCACAAAATCAGTAAATTTCAAGGAGAACATATATAAAATGTTTTATAGGTGGCATATTACTCTGGAAAAATTGTCAAAGATTTATACAGAGGTGTCAAATGTTTGTTGGAAGTGTGAAGCACAAGAGAGAAGTTTTTACCATATGTGGTGGACTTGTAGAGTAGTGAAACAGTATTGGATGGGAGTACATACTCTGTTACAAAAATACTGCTTTGTAATGTTCCACTAACCCCAGAATTGTTTTTACTGAGCATTATAGCAGATAATATAGTTAAGATAAAGAACTACCTAGTTATGTATATAGTCACTGCAGCCAGAATTCTTTATGCTAAGAACTAGAAGAAATCGGAGATACCAAAACAAGAGGAACTTATTGAGAAGATATGGGAAGCGGCAGAAATGGATATTCTATCAGAAGTGTTGAAAGCCTTCGCGAATACATTGTTGAAAGACTGTCCAATACAAAAGGCAACTGAATGATGGGATTTATTTTATAAACGGCTTGAGTCACCAGATAGTGCTTGAATAACATAGAATTAAACTAAGATGTAACTGTAAGTTGAAACCTGGAGGGCAATCTAATTGTAGAAGGACGAAAAGTCAACTTGATATCACAACATGAACAAACAGATTGGATGATAGTACATTTTGTGTTCTCCCCTCTTTCCCCCCATATTCTCCTCTACCTTTTGTACTCCTTACCTTATCCCTAGTTTTTAAAAATAAAAAAATAAATTTTAAAAAAGAATCCACAGAAAGTTCAACTGGTGCAAAATACTGCAACCAGACTGTTGACTGGGACTGATAAGTGAGGTCATGTGATCTCCCCATTCCACCCCGTTCTGCTTCAGCGGCTGCCAGTTTGCTGCAGGGCCCTATGCAAAGTGCTGTTCATGGCCTTTAAAGCCCTTATAGCTCAGGTCCAGGCCACCTGAGAGATGGCATGTGCATGCACAAGTGCCTGTGAGTATTAGGATTCTCAGGGGAGTATCTTCTCAGTGTCCCATTACTTTCGTGTCTATGGGGGCTTGAAAGAGATCTTTTTCTGTGGCTGTTCCCACGTTATGAAACTCCCTTCCTTGAGAAGTGCAGCTGCCCCATTCCCTCATTTACTTCTGCTGGCAGCTGAAAACTTACACCTTTCGGGGAGTTGGCAAGTAGCTGAAATTGGGAGGTCTTCTTACATGAGATTTATAGTCTTTATTAAATAATATTTTTACATATTTCTGTGCTGGGTCCCTTTTGGGGAGAAAGGTGGGATAGAAATATTTAAATTAATGGATTAATAATAAAATACATTATATTCTCAAATTTTAATTGTTATATTTTTAATATATATTTCTAATTCCTATGGGGGAATTTCGCTGGACAATGTTTGGTCCCTGCTTCGCAAATCAATTTTCACTAAACAGCGATTTTGACAGCTCCCTCCGTGCTCACAAAATGGGTGTTTTCGGGACCTAAGCTTCGTAAGACAGCTATTTAAACAGCAGATCGGTGGTTTGCAAAGCGGCTTTCCTATGGCCGATCTTCGTTAGACAATGATGATTCTTCCCCATTGGAACGCATTAAACAGGTTTCAATGCATTCCAATGGAGAAATGCTTTTCGCTAGACGATGATTTCTCTAAACAGCGATTTCAGTTGAACGGATTATCATCGTCTAGCAAGGCACCACTGTACAGTGGTGCCTCGACTTACAACCATACAGTAATTCATTCCAGAAGATGGGCGTAACTTGAAATGGTTGTAGGTCGAAGCACCATTTCCCATAGCAATGCATTGAATTGCAATTAATCCATGCCAGCCGAAGAAAAAAAAATCACCAAAAAAAAAATCACTGCAAGACTAATTGGAAATGCCTTCCGGCGAAAGGGGGGGGGAGAAAAACAATCAAGTGTACAAGATCCATTGGAAATGCACAGAAAACAAATGGAGCAGATTGGAAATGCACAGAGAACAAAGGGGGCAGGTCGGAAATGCAAAGAAATCAAAGGAAAAAGCAAGGGAAGCATAGAGGACCCATCAGAAATGGGGAACCCTTCCAAAGCAACCAACCCCCCCAAGACCCATCGGAAATGGGGGGAAGCCAAAAAACAGACAAACCCCAAGACCCATCGGAAATGGGGGGGAACCCCAAAAGCAACCAAGCCCCCCAAAACCCATCGGAAATTGGAAAAAACATTCCAAAGAGCAAGAAAAAACCCCCAAGACCCATTGCAAATGGGGGTGGGAAACCAAAAAACAAACTCCCCAAGACCCATCACAGCACAGAAACATCCCCCCAGCCAAAAACCACGCTGCAAGACACCCAGGACAGTTTTTTAAAAGCAGAAAACAGCACCTTACCTTACCAGGCAGCCCAAAGCTTCCCTGCAAATACACACACACGCTCACTCAGAAGTGAGGGAGTCCAAAGCTCCTCCTCAGACACACACTCTCTAACTAACTGCTGGGGCGAAAGAGCTACAAAGAAGCAGCGTCGTCGCCACCTACAGTTAGAAATTTGCATTTCTGGCCTTTTGTCTCTGCATTTTTCTGTTCATAAGTCGAAGCTTGGGTCGCAAGTAGAAACAAAATTGTGCAGCTAGAGCTGTTCATAACTAAATGGTCGTAAGTAGGGACATTCGTAAGTCGAGGCACCACTGTATTCTGTACTGAATTTTCTGCAGTTATCAATAAATAATCATGAAGAACCAAGATCATAAAATGCATTGAACAAAGGAAGATTTTAATTTATAATCTAGGTATTATAATAGTATTTTATTTTATTGGAAAATAATTATTCTGAATGATTTCCAGTTCTGTTATTTTCAGGTTAGGTCTTATTTTTGGGGAAACAGGGTATATGACTTTGATACAGAATTTACAGATAGGCCTCCTCTCCAGTAATGAACCTTCCAAATTTGCTGCAACATTTTAATAACTATAAATTTGCTGTTCTTTCACGGGTCTTCCAAATTAACTTTGCATGAAAATTGAGTCCTGCATATTGATATGCATTTACCTATTCTGTGATAAGACCTTATGTTTTCTATCATTTATGGCTATCTTAGTTTTCATATTTTAATATGTTGTTCTTCAGCAGTGGCTGAATGATAGATGTTCTTTTAAGATCATTTTGCAAAAGCAACATAACAGTGTACAGCAAAATCTCTAATTTTCTAACTCTAATTATTGACATTAGATAAGATCTATACAGTATCAATTTCCTCAGAAATATTTTAATACTAACAGTGCTTTTATTATGGTGTTGCTAATGCAATCAATAATTAACAGTTTTCCCCGACAATCTTTTTAGAGGGCTAGAGAAATTAAAACAGAAAATCCAAAATGCCACTGTTCTTATTTACACCATTGCAGTGCCTTGGGCTTCTACACATGCTATTTCCAGACCTTGACTGCTTTAATGATGACTCCAGTTGAATTTTAATTATTTTTGGCATGCTAGCTCAGGCTGTTAGTCTATCTGATGTAATGCATGCAGAAAAAAGGAGGAAATGTTGCTTTGAAGTGACCTCTTGTCTTTTTATGTCCCAAATAAATCAGTTTAAAAAACATTAATGTGTCTGTGATAATTCCTGTTATCTTAATGCTCACATAATGAGATGAATGTACTAGAAGTACATCCTGTGGCATTTGTCCCTTACATTACCAAGCAATAGCTTAAAAATAAATTGCATTCACTTTAGATGATTATTACTTGATAGACTAATCATTGCTGTGGTTTGGTATTTAGGTGCAGAGATGCAATCTGAGTCAGATCCAGAGTTATAGTTTGGGAAGCAGAAGGCTTCTTGTAAATGCCAAAGCACATTTCCTGACATTCCAAGGCCCAGGGAGAAGAAAAAGGAATGGAAATCCAAAAGGGTGTTTCAGATGTTGCACACTTTCTTGTTCTTATTCTCAAGATGGATGTGGCATAAATTGTTACACAGTCTCTCCAGCACCTTGCACAATGTAGTGTTAGGGAATAGCATTATTGCCAGCTTTTCTTCCACTTGTGATCTCTGAGTCTAATCCCTGTGTGTTTTAATTGCTTGCATGGCATTCTTGACTTCACTAAGTCATTATCTTTTTGTTTTTGCTTTTTGTGTTTGTTACCAGTAACATGCATTTACCCAGTTGTTTTTGCTTTCCTCTGAAATTATAGGTCAGCTTCACCGCACCATGGCTTTACAATTGTGAATCGACTGAACATGCATAATTTGGTTGAGCCTGTAAACAAAGATTTAGAGTTTCAGCTGCATGAACCCTTTCTTCTGTACAGAAATGCTAACTGTGAGTATAAACTAAAAGGTATCATTTAGGACCCTCGCCCCCACCCCCACTTTGAAGTGTCTTTGACAATGTTTGTTGCTTAATAGGCGTGCTCTAGCAGTAGTTAGCTGAGACTATTCAAATCAGTTTAAATTAATTGAGAACCATTCTTCAAGCTGTGTTCTGAGATATAAAATAGTTTAATTGTGGTATGTCCTATTTAATTAGTTTAGGTATCATTCTGTTGTGGTGTCTTAGGTCTTTCTGCACCCTTGAACCTCTCTTTCCAGGACAGTTAATTGAATGGCTTTTCATTGAGCAGTTTTGAAGGTGGGGTGATGACAAAGGCTAGCAGAATAAGGGGATGGCTGGTTACAGAAGCAGTGGGAGAAAGAAAAAGGTTTTGGAAAGTATGGTACATATTCATCTAATTGATCGCCCAGTTGATCTTGGGAGGAAGGTACCATAGAAATGAAAACAAACACACAAACGTTGGGGGAATAGTGGAGTGATTCTTTGCTGTGTTCGTTGGTTTTTAATCTTTCAATATACTGAAGATCAATTAGGGCTGCTACATCAGTTTGTTGAATTCTTAAATCACTGTTAGGATCGAGCTCATGATGCTTAATGAATTAGCCCCCTGTTGTTTGGTGCAAGCGTTTTTAAAAACAGACTTTTTAAAATGTTGCTGTTATATTGTTACTTTATTTCTGCTTTAAATGTCTTTTCAAAAAGTAGCTGTAGGCTGGCTGATGCTGATGGCTTCAGGATTAATGCCCCCCCCCAAGGATTCATTTTAGATTTAGCCATTCTCAACAAGACCCATTGAAGTCCATGGTATTTCCATATATTGGTATTGATGCATGTGCAAGAATGGCAGCTTCATTAATTCATCTTGTGAATGGGTAAAATCATGACATTAAATTCAGTATATTCAAAACAATCACATTTTAATCTTAGAATTGCATTATATTGTGCTGCCCAGCACAGGTCTATTTGCTTTCATTCATGGCTTGATTATGAGAACAAAGAACACATTAATGTCACATTTTCTTGACATAGAGAAAATGTTTGTGAAGACCTGGTAATGAATTCCAAATGGACATTGATTTAATGGTTGCAGTGATTGTTTGAGTCATCTGTTAACATGCAGCTCTTGAATCTGATGGGCCACTTGTTCACTCCTTGTCCCAGGGTATTTTGTTGAGGTAGCATGGCATGTGCATTGATACTTTATTAGGTGTTTTACCGGAATGGATAATTTCATTGATTACAATCGAATTGTTCTTTAAGTTTTTCAACTTATCCGGTGTCACTATAATTACTGGTTATGCCACCCAAATTGCCTTTTAAGGTCTTTTAGTTATTTTGTCTTTTTGTGTATGTAGATTGGTATGTTTAATTTTGGACTTTGCTTAACTATTACATTTAGTACTTTTTAAAGTGTTTGTTTTATCATCTTGTGAACCACTCAGAGTGGCCTTGGTAGCCAATGGGCAGTATAGAAGTTGAATAAATAAGTAAATAGAAATAAATATTTTCAGGTTCTAATAATAAAGTAATTTGAATGTTACTTCTTAATTCCTAGTACAAAGCCATTATGTGTCTTTTCAGGAGTAAGTCCCATGGAGTAAAGAGAGACTTACTTTCATGAATGTGACCAGAGCATTGCAGTCTAAGTTAACTTCTGATGTGTGAGATATATGTAGTTCAATCTTTTAAAAAATTATAGTATAATGAATATGTTTAAAAAACATTGATAAGTTTTGACATAACAGTTTTGGCTCCCTCCGTTACATCAGTTAGGGCGGTGCTCTTTACTTATCAAATTATAAAATGGGAAGCCATAGCACTTCAGTGATAAAGGGGAAATGAAAGCAGGTGAAAACATTTCTAGTATCTAGCACTGTGTATCCGTCAGTTCATAAGTAACTATAAAACTAACATTTTCTGCTTAGCTATTTTAATAAATTCATGCATGCAAATGTAGTGTAAACAATTTTATGTTGAGAAAATTGGAATCAGTTAAAAGTATTGGTAGATGAATTTAATATGGTTCTCACTCCATTCACTTTGTGTGAAATCTGGCAGTTTTGGTTACTGTGCTGGCAGATAAGCCATGTTCAGAACCTACTTTGAAATGTCTCTTAGTGATTCAGTTGTACAGATGTGCCATTTCTCTAGAATTATATTTCCTTCTAAACTCTAAGGAATGCTTATTTTGTTTGATAGCCGTCACAGAAAAAATTGTGTTTTGCAAAGCCAATTACAATTGTCACAAACTTGCACCAAATGTTGAATTGGTAAAATCCTTCCAAATTTCCCACATCTTCCAACTCCACTTTTTCCCCATTGTAATACCATTCTAGTCAGCATACTGAGAGATTTCATCAGAACCCCTTTCGCTTCAAGCAGTCTTATTATTGGTTCTAACTGGTCCATATTGGCAATACAGAATTTGTTCAGTTAATTCCTCCAAAATCTATATAACTGCTACAGATGCTCAGCTTTTTTTAAAAAAAACATGCAGTTATGAACTTACCTTTAAAGGTCTTCAAGAAGTACAATTCTAAATCAGTTTCAGTCACAACTTTCCCCTTGTGTCTGAAGTTTCTATCTTGATGGAGAGAACTAATTTCCATATTGTTAAAAACAAATATAACCTACTGCACAGAATCCTAAGATAAAAGTGCACTTTCCCCTTTCTTCTTTTTGTTTGAGTTCTGCTTGCTTTTTCCCCCCAGGCTGAAATGTAGCAAGAAAGATTTAGTCCTAGAGGTGCGCACTTTAAATGTTGTTCTCTTTAATATAACAGTTTATGCCCTAAATATACATATATGTAGCCAGCCAGTTTTGTTCCTTGACTGTAAAAGTGCCAGAGTGGATTCAGCAACCAGTAGATACCAGCAGTGTTTTCAGAATGGCATGTGGTTGACTGTGAAAGGAGAATGGATCTTTAGTAATTGCTTTAACTCAGTCTTCTCAACCAAGATAAGGGGTGAGATTTATGTTGCTATTTCTGTAGAGAGAAATAGTGAAGCATTTAGGATTTTTTAATGGAGTTTAAGATGAGGGCAGCCAGACATGTGGAGTGATGCTGAGCACTGGACTAATGTGTCAACACCAGTCACTTTCTTGTTCTGCATTCTGTTGTAAAGTAGTTATCTGTGTTCTGTCTTTGATGGATAGCTTTGTTTAGAACAAACCCATTAGTACTTGGCTTTGATATCACATTTACAGACACACATTCTTTCACTGTGCTAATAATTCAAACCAAATGAAAGGAATTTTGGTCCTATCAGATAATAAATGTTTTCATTTTTTTTTACCCTGTTCCTGTCCTGCTGAGAAAAATAGGTCCACATATCCATTAGACTGACAATTTCTTGGGAGAGTGTCTTGGTTGTTGTGGTCTTGGAAGTTCTGCACCACTCTAGATCTGGGTCTCCGCATTAGCCTAGAGCTAATACCTTTGAAGATATTATCACACCTGAGATTGTCTGATATATATCTGTGTCAGTTCAGGCAGGTCGATTGCTGAGCAGTGATACCAGGTGGAATCCTTGATCTAATTTATTAGTTGCAGGCAGCAATACTGTAAACTGGCACTCAGTTGGACAAAAATACTGGAAAGAGATGCTGTCTTGCTACAGATTACAGCATCTTCCCTTCACAAACCCTTGTTTGTTATTATTATTTCTCTCTTAGTTACATTTGTGTCCCATTTTTCCTTCAAATAGTTCATTCAAAGGGTCTTTCTACCTCCCCCTTGAGGTGGGTCAGAATGAGAGAGCACCTGGTGAGTTTAATGGCTTAGGGGAAAACAGAACTCTGCCCCCCCCAGGCCAAACATGGCAACCATTATACCACACAAACCTTTGGGCTCACTTTGATCCTTGATTGGGAAAGGCCAGCCTACTCCAGTTTGTTTACTCATCCATATCTCAGTTACGTGAGGCAGTTAGTGTTCTTATACAGAATCAGTTAATGTCTAATCTGAACCTAGAGAAGGAAGAGACGCCTTGCAACACAAGAATCATCCATGTCATTTATGGTTTTAAGTTGTTTCTAGTGTATGATAAATTCCCTAATATCCATAGTTTGGTTGTTTCAAACAAATGCATTGGCTGAAATCTGTTGCACACCTCCACCTGAACAGGTGGTATCACCAGCGATGGGAGATTGCCCCTTATTAAAGGTTTCTTTTTGTGACTTTGAAGTATGCATGGGTTGTACACAATGTGATAAAGTACACCCTGAATTTGCAAGGAGAAGCAACAAATCCACTCTGATGTGTACATCCTGGCTGAAATCATGTTGGCAAGAGCTGTGCCATGCAGTAAGGATGTCATCAGCTGCTGCCATGTCAGGGCATTAAAAAGCTTCCTAAAGCAAACGCACACACGCACGTGTGCGCCCGAACGCATGCGCGCACACACACACACACGGTTTTGGGGATTCCTAGAGATTCTCTTCATCTTGGGCATTTTCCGCGAGCTGCAGAATGGGAGGGGGAATTATTTGGAGTTGAAAAATCACTGCCCCTCAGTCACAATCCCACTGCCATGACTGATGGCAGAATCTTCTGGTTTTAAATCACTCTTGTGTCCCATTCCACAGCTCCTTAGAATCTGTTCCAAGTCAAAGGGGATCTCTGAACTGTGCTCTGAAATGGTCATGGCACAGCCATGTTGATGATCTCAGCCAGCTATTTGTTTATACAGTGGTGCCCCGCATAGCAACGTTAATCTGTTCCAGATTAACGTCGCTATGCAAAAACATCGCTAAACAGATCAAAAAAACCCATAGGAACGCATTAAACTTGGTTTAATGCGTTCCTATGGGGCCCAAACGCACCATTCAGCGAAGTTCCTCCATAGCGCCATTTTCGTGCCCTCGGGAAGCGAGGGCAGGGTGCGAAAACACTTGTGGTCGCCGTTTGGGGCACCCGGTGGCCATTTTGGAACCGCCGATCAGCTGTTTAAGAAACCATCGCAATGCGAAGATTGGTAAGCGAAACGCTTACCGATCATCCCAATGCAATGTTTTACACATTAAAACATTGCAATGCGATCGCATTAGTGATCTAAAACATTAGATCGCTATGTGGATTCGTCGTTAAACGGTGCGCTCGTTAAGCAAGGCACCGCTGCTACTCCTCCCTAGGTATTAAAAATTACATAGTAGTAGTAGTAGTAGTAGTAGTAGTAGTAGTAGTAGTAAACATCGCAATGCGATCGCATTAGCGATCTAAAACATTAGATCGCTATGTGGATTCGTCGTTAAACGGTGCGCTCGTTAAGCGAGGCACCACTGTATGCTGTTACTCCTCCCTAGGTATTAAAAATTACATAGTAGTAGTAGTAGTAGTAGTAGTACATATTTTGGCATAAGTAATTGATACATCCTGCTGCTTCAGGTACAGCTCTTCTGTAATAAAATGGATTTTAAAACATAATCTAAATCTATATTAACCAGTTCTTTTTTAATATTTTCAAGTGTCAATTTACAGTATCTGGTTCTATGACAAGAATGACTGCCATCGGATAGCAAAACTCATGGCTAAGTAAGTACCTCAGTTTTTATTTCTAACACACCACTTATTATTTATTTATTTATTTATTTGATTTCTATCCCGCCTATCTAATCAATTAAGATTACTCTAGGCGGCTTACAACCATAGAGCAACAACAATATGAATTAAAAACAATTTTACAAAAGAAAAGTTGCAACAGATTAGGAGAGAACTAGGGAGTAGAAAAAGGGGAATCAGGAACTGACAAAGGGGAAGGCCTGCCGATACATCAATGTTTTTAGTTGTTTTTTGAAGGTACCCAGTGAGGGAGCCGCGCGAATGTCAGGGGGAAGGTTATTCCAGAGGCGAGGAGCCACCGCCGAGAAGGCCCTATTTCTTGACTTGGGTTTGTAAGGAGAGCTAAAACACACAAACTGTAATCCTTTGGGCACATGACTATAATTAAGTCCAGTGAACTCGGCAGGGTTACTTCTAAGTAGATGCATACAGAATTTCAGTGTTAATGTCATACAAGTTCTCTTGTGATGTGTTATTTTGAAATATATTCTTTCAGAAATCCCTATTTGTACATAATGTCCACAATATTCTAGCTCGGCTTCTCCAACATGGAGCCTTCCAGATGTTTTGAACTTCTCTTTCGCTCACCATTACCAAAATAGTTGCAGCTGATGGGAGTTTCAGTCCACGTGTCCGGAGGTTAGGAAGGCTCTTAACAGAAAAAGCAAAGACACTGCTTATTGTCAAATACATGCAATGCCCTTCATAGCTACAGTATTTTCAATCAAACTACACAATTGCAGTTTGATTGGTATGTACATGTAACAACCCTGATTCTGTAACCAGTTTCTGAAATGTATCCAGTTTCTTCCTCTGACCTAAATGCAAAATTCAGATATGTATAAGCCTCTCATTTCAGTAAGAGTGTTTAATTTAGGTGTCTGGCTTGAAACCTTGGTTAGCCACAAACTGAGAGTTGAACATAAGAGCAGCTTCCCTGCCACCTGTAGTGGCCCTTTCTGAAAGGTCCCAAGGACTGTCCCAGACTCACACACTCAGCTTGTTTACTGGAAACACTTAATCTGGCCCCAGTGGTGGGAACTGAGGCCAGGGCCAAACTGACTGGATCTAGGAGGCTAGTGTGGGGAACAGAAAGGATGGGAACAGGAAACCACTGTGGAAAGGAGCCAGTCCAATAAAGAGCAACCTCACCAGCAATCTGGAGCCAATGGAGTTATTGGTGGGAGATTCCAAGGCTGCCAGTTTGACCGGAGACAGGGGCAATAGTCTTCATAAAACAATAAAAAGCAAGTAAAACCAAAATTAACTATAATATCATTTAAATGAAATAACACCATCCCCACTATAAGACCCGTTCAAATAAACTTTCGTTCACAGTGAAAAGCAAGACATTTTTATCTGATGAAATGGACCACAGTTCATAAACCATTATGCTATAATCACTTTGTTACTTTAAAGTGCCATAAGATAGTAGTTTTCACTGAGATTATATATCAGTCAAACCTGGTAGTTCATCCATTAAGAATTTATCTAATTCTTTTTGAATACCTTCCAAGTCTTTGTAGCATATTCCTTTGCTTGATCTATGTGCTGTGTGAAGAAGCACATCCTTTTTCTGTTCTGAATTTCTCACTGTTCAGCTGTCTAAATGACCCAAGCCCTTTATTGTTGGTCTTCATGTTGTTGACAATATGGCCCTCAGTATTTTTGTTTGCTTAGAATTATAATCATTTTGGGGAAGTTTGTATACTCCCCCTCCCCTTGTACTAGACTTGCATTTTTTCTAAAAGAAAAAATCCCTTGTAGCCCATGATTTTGTTACTTGCCTTTTTGGCTTTGTGGGACCTTTATACTTCAGGGCAGGGCATTTTTGCTGAGCTTCTCTTGTAGCTTTGATTTATCTGCAAATGTTCTGGAGAGAATCTTCTTAACAAGCCTCTTCATCTTTCTTTTAATCTGTTTCTTCATTCTTGAACGTTTTTGATGCCACATTGAAGACAAATATGACTGTGTTGGACTTTCTTGGGAATTTTCTACCTAAATTGTAAGTCAGATTTCATAGGATTATGGCCGCTATTTCCATTCATCTTATCTCTTATACACAGTTCTAGGTGCCAGTTACATTTAAGTTTGCAGTTGCTTCCCCTCTGGATGATTCCATCACCTACTGGTTTGAATCACAATCATTTAAGTTCTATAGTGATATTTTACCATTTTATCCTGACCTGGAATATGTATTTACTCATCCTTTGTGAGGATAATGGAAATCATCTGTGCCTCTTACACAGTCTTCTTTCATTGGCTACTGGGTTTAATTTTCCATTTCAAAATTACTTTGTCCATTTTGCTCATGTGACAAGAGCAGATCTGTGGTTCTGTGGAGAAGTCTGTCCTTGAGGTTTTTATCCATTTGATACTATGTCTTCTTTGATGTGAAGAGTGACAGCACTCCTGGTGTGGTAGATATGCTGGAAAGAGGAGGAGTTGGTGAAAGCAGTGCATGACTGGCTCCTGATCCCTTGTTGATTTATTTGCTGCATTTCTGCATTGCTAAACAGCTGAAGCTCTCTGGGTAGTTGGCATAACAAAGTTCAAAACTATATTAGACCTCAATAAAAAGAAACAACATGAAAAACTAAAAATATTTCAGGCAGAAGCAGGACAAAGCACAAAATGACAACCAGCATCAGTGCAAAGCTCCAGAAAGAGCCGGAGAACAGTTGTTTTTGTAATGGAAGGAGTGGAATGGAAAAATTCTGACCTGGAATTGTGTAGTAAAGCATGGTAATGGATATAATGCGTTAGAATTACATTACACTCGTAAAGCAGCCATCCTAGCTGCTAATTTTCTTCTAAGCCCTGTTCAAGTACTGTTGCTTAACTCTAACTTAAGGGGGAGAGCCTTCCAGTTTGTGGGACCCCAGCTGCGCCATCCTACTGGTAGTGTCCTTAGCAATTGTAACACCCTTAAATACACAAATCAGTTGGAATTCCAGAATTGTGTACAATCTAAGAAATGGGCCTTTTCAGCAACTGAACAATTCAGTTACACTTTGTTACACCTCCTTCATCAGGGACAGCTGAAGGCACGTCTCTGAAGTAGAGCTTCTTGCCTAGTGATGTGTGTTTGAAATGAGACAGTCCTTAAGGTCACTTGGTGCCAAACTATGTGGGGCTCTGAGGTATTGTTGGATGTGGAAAGGTACCTTGGAAAGAAAAAGCCAATGCAGGTTATGAAGAAGCAGCGTAATACGTTTTTGTTGCCTGATCCCTGATAGCCATCTGGCTGAAATTGTTGGACCATTTTAAAATGTAGCCCCATGTACATGGTCACAAGGTTGAGAGCATTACAGCTGCATTGGTCCAATATTACAAAATCCAAATAGTATAGAGTATAAATTAAGAACTGTTAAGCAAGTGGGAATGGGTTGGGTATTTCTTGGTGCAAAATGCTGCAGCTTTGTTGTAGAGTATGCCCAGCAGGCTCCACTATATTCACTGGAAGTATGATTGGATTGCTAGGGATAAAGCTTGCTTGGTTTGGCTTCTAGCAGCTGAATCAGCAAGGCTTTTGAAGCTTAGAAAACAGATCATTCTTATTCCTCTCCAGGGCATTTAGTAATTTGTGTGGCTCCTCTTTTCATTTGGGACTAGGAAAACATTAATGAAATTATTAAGTAAGCAGTGCATGCTTTGAAGAATAATTTTGGCCTGGCATCCTTTGTGAAGTGAAGAGAGGGAATGATGGCCATCTTCTGAGATTTCTATGATACTCCTTTTTTGGTTTTCCTTTGACTGTCTTTTATGTAGCTTGATAATTCTGATGTGACACTTCCTGCTTTTAAGACTCCACTCTGCTTTTAAGACTCCATTTTTTGTCCTTTGAGACTAGATAAATGCAACCAACGGCACGTCTGCCTTATCACTATGATGACACAGTGATGTGTGCTAGTTTAAGTGTTTGAACAGTTTTTCAGGAAGTAGTTATGCTCTGAAACAGTGAGAGAGATTAAGAAAAAAAAATCATGATTGTTTTGAAATTTATGGCCCATCTTTCTGCACAGGCTTCCACTCAAAGGGCTTCCAGTGTTCTAAAACAAATTCATTAGGGTACTTCTTAATTAGTGGTCGATCACTGCTTTGAGTTACACTGTTGTACTTGTGCACGCTGGGATATTCAGTTGGTTATTGGCCAATACATCATATAAATTCTGATAGATAATGTTTAGATCTATAAGGGCCTCAATGTAGGCAGTGTATGTCAAATATATTTTTGATTCAAATAAAGCACATCTGTGGTGCTGACCTGCATAATGCATTCTAAGCATATACAATCTTTTCTTATCCTCTTGTTACAGAGTAGTACAAGAAGAAACTCAGAGATCCCAACAAGTGTTGCAGGACCGAAGAACTGTCAGCAGGATTAACGGTTGCACTGATATCCTAGAGATGCTTAGCAAAGCAAAGGTTGAGTATGAACGGGTAAGAATGGTGTGTGTTCACCATTTGAGATTATAGTGGGAAACAAGCTAACCTGGAATATTTTGTTTCTTTGTAATTATGTTGGATAGTTATTAATAGGAATTATTATGTTCTGTCAAGTTGGTTCCAACTTGTGATGACCTTTTCCAGGGTTTTCTAGAGTATCATTCCCTTTTTACTCAGTTATTCCTTGGTAGTTCTGCGTTTCTGAAAGTTGAGATGAATGGCAATTAATGTGACACATTTTGTTACTCAAGGTTTCTGCATCTTCTTTACATACTTTATTACATTACAAATAGTTCAGAAGAAGTGATGAGAATGATATTTCCTATATAGCAGTATTCCTTACTGACTCTAACCCAGCTACACATTGTCTAGAAGGCTTTCTTTGCAGTCTGTTTCCTTTCTTTTTACTCATACTCACTGAGCAAAATAGAAAAGCAGTTAATCATCATCATCAGGGAATACGTTGCAGTCTTAGAATGCTTGAGGGTTGTTGAATCATGAAGCAAAAGGCTAGTGGCTTTCGGCTGCTCTGGAACAGCAGTTTTAGGAGCAGTGATGTTCAGCTAACCTAAAATGACTTGCTGCAATTAAAAAAAGTGGCTATAGAATGTTGAGATGGAGTACAATTCTTTTAGCGCTAATAATATGAGTTGAATATTGTAAGAAGAACAGTAGGATTATTTTGCCAGCTTCAGTTTTGCTTTGACGTAGGAGGCATAATTAATGCATACAAATATGCAGATACTCTCAGTATTTTATATAGAATTGGATTAAGCAATTTTTCTTTGTTTTTAATGTCTCTGCCCCACCAGGGCCGTTAGTCCTCACTAGAGCAGACCCATTTAATCCATGAAATTTATGTAAGTGTTGATTTACCAAGTTGCCACTGATTCAGTGGAACAAAGAATTGGATTTAAGCCAATGTAAAATTCCCTAATTTTTCCTTTGTTTAACATACCTTGGCAAACACAAATTCATGACAGCTTCTCAAATTGCATAGCACTCTCATCCTCCACCAGGTCAAGACATTCTTAGTGCTCAATCCATAAAAGGATGATGAACATTGCTAACTCCTTGCTTGATAGTATTTCTCAGTTACTCTTCATCTTGTTCCCTCTAAGGCAGATTACTTAAAATAAACAAAACTAGAATCAATGCACCAGAGGTATTGAGGAAATATGAGCTATCTGCTTCTTAATTTAAGGGTGAAGGGAGGATTAAATGACACAGAACGGTCAATTAAAGCCATGAACATTGGCAAATTGCTGGAGCTATATCTTGGGAGCCAGTTAGCCCAAGCAGTATATTAATTTGCTTGCCCCAGAGTTCCTGAGAAGACATGAGGACATGATGAAGATATCACCACAATTAGCTTAGCTTTTAGTATTCTGAAAGTCCAAAATCATGTCTTACTGGTTCAGCTCTTATGGGATATATTGATAATAGTCCTTGCCTAGTGCCTGTAACAAGTCATATCTACTTCAGTATGCTACACTACCATGTAGATTTTGGGCATTGGTGTTGAACTTCAAATACTGTAAGGCTATTAGCAGACATGGGAACTCATTGCAAAGAACTGAAGGAACTGTTAACAGTTCATTCATTCATTTGAGGTTGAGAAGATATTTATTTATTTATTTATTTATTCATTCATTCATTCATTCATTCATTCATTCATTCATTCATTCATTCATTCATTCATTCATTCATTTATTTATTTATTTATTTATTTATTTA